AAAAAAAAAAAAAAAATTAAAAGGTTTACAAATAAACCTTTAACAAAAAAAATTCCTCAAGCTGAAGTCAAGTCTTCAAGTGTTGAAGGCAAAAGCAACCATATTCCAGGCAAGATATTTCCTCTTCGCCCATTGCCTATGACTTACACAAAAACAAATCATATTGATCACTATTCAATCAACTCCTCAATATAAGTTTTTTCTAACAATTTTTTCAGCCCCAATTATTAGAGTGAGTTATCCAAGCACAGTGACCAGCAGCATGGGTTTGGGGGCTGAACTATCAAGACTATGAACCATCAAGACTTCTCTGAGTGCCAAGCTGCATTTCACAGATCCCTTTCCCTCTACTATTCCCTGCACTCCTGACTCCTACATCCGAGGTTGTACTGTGTTCTCCCCTTGAGGGAAGTGCCAGCTGGACTTCACTAATGTTATCTCACTGATCTCAATCCCTACGTCCCCAAAAGGGTTTTATATTGCATTCTGCCTTGGACAGAGGCAAGTTTACTCCAAAATAAAAATATAGTTTTAAACAAGGGCCATTGAGGGTCACCCAATTCTCATTTCTTTCTTAGATCTCTACTTCTCATTATAGAGATCATCAGGGCCATGGCCTCATCTGGAACCTGGAAACAGACTGGAGCCTGGAGTGTCATAACAAAATCTGCTTTGTTCATTTGCATGAACTTAATAAAAATAATAAAGGCACATAAGCCATTATAGTTTGAACATCTACTATACATTAGGCACTGTGTTAGACATTTTGATGTGCATTCTTTGCATGTAACTCTTCAAATTTATATTCCTCCACTTACTTGAGGTTTCTGAAAAAAACATAGCTAGTAACTTTTCCAAGACCATATAGTTAATAAACAGCAGACCAAGGATACAAACCTTGATCCAACTGACTCCAAAGCCTGTGCCATTTCCTTTATGTTTTCCCATAACTACATTTCTAAATACACAGATGTTTCCTACATACTTACTCTTGCTTTTTTACTCACATAAGGCAAAAAGCTCCTATTTAGATAACATAAGAAGTTTTATGGCTTCTCCCATGATCTCTGATTTTAGCTCCCAGTGAAAAATTCTTTGAGGTCTGTAGATAGAGAGTCTTCAGGATTCCTATCTAAAATTAAGGCTTCTCTGGGGACCACTTCACAATATTCTATTTCTATATTCCAGAAAGCGATAGATTTAATCCCAAAATAGGTATAACTAGAATGACAGCACTAGGATATCAACAGGTGATTGGCAATATCATTTCAAATTACGTATTTTGTTAAATAGCTTTGAAGGAGGAACCAGTCTGCTGTGCTGATTCCACCACATCTCTCCAACCTCCTAACATCACAGCTCCTCAAGTTTAGTCTTGGACTTCTTCTATCTATACTCACCTACTTGCTTAGTGATCTATACCATACATAATCTAACAGTGCCCAAATGTGTATCTCCATCTTGGGCTTTGCCCTTGACTGTCAGTCTCATATACTCAGCTGTCTACTCAACAGCTACATTTTGGTATCTAATCTATATCTCAAACTTAATATGTCCAACTGAACTCCAAGTCTTATTGAAGATGGACCTGCTCCACCCACAGTCTTCCCCATATAAACTGATGACAATCTGATGAGCCTGCAATTTACTCAGGCCAAAAATTCTGGAGTCACTTTTGATTCCTCTCTGTTGTCTCATTTTCAATCTACAGGAAAATCTTGCCAGTTCCACTTCAAAACATTTCCACGATCTTATTACTTTTCCCTGCCTCCACTGCTACCACCCTGGTAAGCCTAGATTATTGCAATATCCTCTTAACTCATCTCCCTTCTGCTACCTTTGCCTTATTAAACTCAACCTATTCTCAATACAATGACCAAAGTGATCTTTTAAATGTTTTTTAGTGTTTATTTATTTATTTCTGAGAGAGAGAGAGAGAGAGAGAGAGAGAGAGAGA